AAAGCTACATCAGACATAAGCAGACATCTACTTTAAAGTAATGCAAGTTACTACCTCTTTTAATATCCTACTGCAGCTTACCCTACTAGGGCAGGGAAATCTATACAGCCTAACAAAGGATGCCAGATGGAAAATTCCACTGAGCTTAATTAGCTCACTGCTATTCCTGGATGACTGATACTGATGCAACTCTAAGATGGAGATTTTTTTCTTTTTCATAACATGCATTTTTACTTTAGTTCTTAAAGGTGCAACTGTTGCTCAATGAAATAAGAAGTACAAGATAGGAAGTAGTGCATTTATTTCAGCAGAGAAAACGAAAATAAACACTATTTTCTCAGGCTACAGTGGATAACTTAAATGAATAGTCTGGAATTTTTTGTATTACTGCATGACATATAGTGATTTCATAAATTTTATATTAAATTAGAAGAAAAATAATAAAAAGAGACTGAAGGTAGTAAAGATAGTAGTTGGACACACATGCATATTGGGTTTGTGTGGTGAGGTTTTGGTAGCGGGGGGACCACAGCGGTGGCATCTGTGAGAAGCTGCCAGAAGCTTTCCCTGTGTCTGAAAGAGCCAATGCCACCTGGCTCCAAGATGGATCCGTCGCTGGCCAAGGCCAAGCACATCATCAATGGTGTTAGAGCCTCTGGATTGGGTTGGAAGGGACCTTAAATATCATCTAGTTCCAACCCCCCTGCCATGGGCAGGGACACCTTCCACTAGACCAGGTTGCTCAAAGCCCTGTCCGACCTGGCCTTGAACCCTTCTAGGGAGGGGCCAGCCACAGTTTCTCTGGGAAATCTATTCCAGTGTCTCACTACCCTCACAGTAAAGAATTTATTCCTTATATTTTATCTGAATCTACCCTATTTCAGCTTGAAACTGTTATCCCTCATCCTACCCCTACATTCCCTGATGAAGAGTCCCTCCCCATCTTTCCTGTACCCCCTGTAAGCACTGGCAGGCCACTCTAAGGTCTCCCCGGAGCCTTCTCTTCTCCAGGCTGAGCAACCCCAACTCTCTTAGCCTGGCCTCACAGGGGAGGTGCTCCAGCCCCTTGAGCATCTTCATGGCTTCCTCTGGACCAGCTCGAGCAGCTCCGTGTCCTTCTTACACTGGGGGCCCCAGAGCTGGACACAGCACTGCAGGGGGGTTTCAAGAGAGCAGAACAGAGGAGCAGAATCCCCTCCCTTGACCTGCTCCCCACACTGCTCTTGATGCAGCCCAGGGCACAGTTTCTGGGCTGTGAACGCACATTGCCAGCTCATATCCAGCTTTTTGTCCACTGGTACCCCCAAGTCCTTCTCTGCAGGGCTGCTCTCAATCCCTTCATCCACCAGCCTGTACTTATGCATGGGATTGCCTCAACCCATGTGCAGGACCTTGCACTTGGCCTTCATGAGGTTTGCACGGGCAAAGGGAAAAAGTTGCTCAAGAGCATCTGTTGCAGCTGGAGAGAGGAGGATATGTGAGAGAAACAGCCCTGCAGTTACCAAGGTCAGTGAAGAATGAGGGGGAGGAGGTGCTCCAGGAGCTGGAGCAGAGATTCCCCTGCAGCCCGTGGTGAAGACCATGGTGAGGCAGGCTGTGCCCTGCACCCAGGGAGGTCTGTGGTGGAGCAGATCTCCACCTGCAGCCCGTGGAGGACCCCACACTCAAGCAGGGGGATGCCCGAAGGAGGCTGTGACCCTGTGGGAAGCCCCCGCTGGGGCAGGCTCCTGGCAGGACCTGCGGCCCCGTGGAGAGAGGAGCCCACGCTGGAGCAGGTTTGCTGGCAGGACTGGTGACCCCACGGGGGGCCCACGCTGCAGCAGCCTGTTCCTGAGGGACTGGACCCTGTGGGAGGGACCCACGCTGGAGCAGTTTGTGAAGAGCTGCAGCCCATGGGAAGGACTCACACAGGAGATTTTCATGGAGGACTGTCTCCCACGGGAGGGACCCCACACTGGAGCAGGGGAAGAGTGTGAGGAGTCCTCCCCCTGAGGAGGAAGGAGTGGCAGAGACAATGTGTGACAGATTGACCACAACCCCCATTCCTTGTCTCCCTGTGACACTCGGGGGTAGGAGGCAAGTAAAGTTAAGCCCAGGCAAAAGGGAGGGGTGGGAGGAAGGTGTTTTTAAGATTTGATTTTATTTTCCATTATCCTACTCTGACTTGATTGGTAATAAACTAAACAAATTTCCCCAAGTTAAGTGTGTTTTGCCCATGACAGTAATTGGTGAGTGATCTCCCTGTCCTTATCTCAACCCACGAGCTTTTTGTTATATTTTGTCTCCCCTGTCGAGCTGAGGAGGGGAGTGACAGCACAGCTTTGGTTGGCGCTTGGCATCAGACAGGGTCAAGCTGCCACAACACATGAGCAAAGCTGAATGTCTAGAGAATGCTGAGAACCTGTAGCAAAATATTATTGCCTGAAGACAGTGATTAGTAAAACCAAAATGAACATCAGAGTCGGAAGAGTAAAAAGAAAAAAAAATAAAAATCAAAGGCTTGTGAAATTCATAGGAAGAACAAATGAGGCAGCCTCACTCAACTACAGATAACAGCAGACAAATCAGCTAGATTCCCAAGGATTAGGATGAAGGCATTTTATATTTATTTTGTGAAAGGTTAAGTAATGTTCCCATTTACCCCTGGCAAAAATATACCCCACAAGAGAGGCTTTCCCAGGCTACTTCGAAATTAAAAAGAAAAAAGCTCAATTCCTCATCCAGTGCCAAAATATACTTCATTTTCGCTTTGCCTTTCCTATCTTAATATTAAAACTCTCCCATTCATGTTGAAAAAAAAAAATCATTTTATTGTCAATGATATTGCTTTAGCTATCCAAAAGAAAGAAGCAATATGGCTCAAAACAATTACCATCCTGTCAGCCAGTCATATCAGAAGTTACTCTTAAGTGTACAAATTAAGACTCTAAACAAATTCTATTCCATTGCCAAACTGTCCCGGCAGGAAGATACATTCACCACCCTTTGCTGTTGGACTCCACAAGACTTCTTGGGTCTCACATTTTCTGTTACTGCATTGCAAGGTGGATGGCTCTTATGTTACCTAAGGCAGCATTTAATTTTCTCTGAAAATCCAGAGTATTCTCAAATGAAATTTCACTTGGAGGCATTTTACATTCTCCCAAAATAAAAGCCTTAAAACATAAATAAGCTAGGAACAGACTTTCTGCCTTCATTTTCTTTTTTTTTCATCAAGAAAATTTCCAGTAAATTCTGTATTTTCCACAGAAACTCTCATCACAAGTTACATGAATGTGATTTTCTAGGCTGGAAGATATATTAACTCCATCATGTAGCAAACTACAAAAATCTTTCCCAACTCTTCAGCTACCGCAGTTTCAAACGGAAATTAGAAACTTCTCACTGCTGAAATTTACTTTACCATATCCACGAAAAATCTACCTCATCTAAAAACAATTAAAGATTTTTGGGATAATCCCCTCATCGCTCAAACATAATCACAAACTCTGTATTTAAAATTTAACAGAAAGTACTCCCATGATCTACCTTCCATTAACACGATGGAGTGGAATTGATGCTGAAAGACAAAGTTGCTCATTGACGTATTTGCTCACATCTAGTCACCATGACCAAGCATCAGCTGCGATTAAGAACAGTGCTGAAAAGAGCAACTGGCTCTGAAGAATAAGTCGAGACTGAAACCTAGCTTGTGGAAAAAGGATGGAGAAAAGGCAGGATGGCAAGGTTGTGGTTAGAAAAGGGAATCAGCAGTGCACGCAGTATTATGGAGATGAACTGCACTCACAGAACATAGTCTGTAGATGAGAAGGACCAAGAACACTGAGCAGACAAAAAGACAAGAGCAGGAACCAGGCTTAGACCTATTCTGGGTGGGAGAAAGCATGCTGGAGATGTGTTATAGAAAGTCAGAAAGAGGGCAAAACCCAGGAATAAGGAGCAAGAGAAAAGGGAAACTCTGACAAGAAGCCAAGTTGATGGGAAACGAATGTACAGAAAGTGTTCGTACACCGGAGGGACAAATGTGCTGAAGAATCAGATGAAGCAGGTATCAGTTTGTGATGGGTAGTCCTGAAACAGCCTAAAAGTGCATGCGATAAATAAGGTCTACAGAAACGGAAAAATGAAGTTCATTAATGGAAGAGCTTCAGGAACAGATTATCACAACAGTGCTATGTAGGCAATCTTTATTCTGACACTTCTTAACTTCTAACTTTAACTTCTTTACTGCTAACCATAGCAGATTAGTAAAGTAACTTCTGCCATATTTTAAAAATTTTTAAAAACATATATTCTTTCTCACGTACTATTTTACAATTAGCAAGAATAAAGAAAAAGGACTCTGAATAATCACAAGAAAAATTCTAATTAAATATTGCGGAAGTAGAGATAGAAAAGATAACATAATCTTAATATAGGAAGACGAGATCCTGAACACATTTAATAAGTAGTGCCCTATTAAACAACCATCTCTGCTCTGGAACCAAAAAGCAAACACAAAGGCTGAGAAGAAACAAAGAAAATAATTTAGTTAAACATTCAGAAAGTCTATCACCTGCAAACAATTAAAAATCTAGATTTGACTAACAGAAGAAACTATTTGATCTGAAGTTTGTTCAATAGCTAATCAAGCTACAAAAGTCTGGATTCTCAGACAATGCTGTTGCTTCAAATAATTTGAAACCTTGGTATTTAACCTTCTATCTTAAAGATTTTACAAATACAAGTTAATAAAATTATCAGAACGTGGGATGTTTTAAAGTGATATGTCATTAGCTTACAACCAGTAAACAAAACACCAAAAAAAAGGCAAATTCATGAAATGAAGGGTGCTGATTTTAAACTGTATAATATTTTTGAGGAAAATAACCACAAAACCCATGCAGTGATGAAGAGATAAATATCTGCACAATTTTTAACAGCATGAATCAACACTTTAAAAATGGATAATGTGTGAATAGCTTCAAATACCTAAATCTGCACATGTACAAGTTTCTTACCAGCTACCGGTAAATCCAGCTTTGCTCGTTTCAATTCTGATAGAGAATTTTGGAGCTGGTCTATTACAAAGTCATCTTCATAGAAGAAATCCTTGGCTAAAGACTCCTGCAGAAATTCTACAAGCTCTTCCATTTGTAATTTCATCAGATGCTCTATATAAGAAGAAAATATTATGCATTAAAATATCTTTATTATGAACATTGGAAAATGTACTAGACATTAGATGCTTTTGTTTTCAAAGCAGAATAAAAACACTTACTAATTAAGCAGATAATAGAATTCTACACTAGAAATCTATAAAATGCATTAAAAATTCACTTGCAAATCAGCATAGAAATGCTTTCTACTTATTATTCTCTACTTAGGACAACATATTCCAAGAAGTATCTTCAGAAAACTAACTACAAGTCACCCTCCTTCAGTCTTCTTATGTCCAACAGCTGCAGGTCTTTATTTTTCAGCCTGCATCCTCAACTTAAAAAACACTGCTGTAGATCTGTACAACATACATCATCTCTCTTAAGAGCTTTAAAAAGCAGTAAAACATTTTTTAAATTGATATTTATAGTATCCTCATTCACAACTGAATTAACTTCCAGTGAAATGATGATGACAGTTCACACTTCGGAACCATTGCTTCAGGCTCTCTGAAAATTCAGGTACTTTTTGCTACTTCAATCAAATTCAGGTCATATTTTGAAAGTCATTTTACAGTTATCAGATTATTTTTCTTTCCATTTTTACACAGTAGTAAGGCCACGTTTCCCACACAAACCTATTTGGGCTTGCAAGGCTATAACTGCATACTTATTTAGCTTTTTTAAACATATATATGCCATCAAAAGTTCCAGATTGTACAATTTCTATATAGAAACCATAAAAAATGCTTTTCCACTGTAATAAAAATGCTCTTGGCATGCATTCCACAGTGGCACTTTGACTGGATAGCTACACCATCAATGTTTTTAAGGGTAGCCAAGAGACTGAAAACCAAATCAGAATCCATCTTCTGCCACCTTCTCTGCCAGTCCCCTAATCTCTTCTCTGTTGCCATAAGGTACTTTCGGTGTTTTGATCGTGAAGGAAGTTGCTACGTACTTGCTAAGCCAACAAACCTGCGTTCAGACTTTTTCCTCAGGTCTTCCCATAAAAAGAGTTGTAAATAAAAAAAATTTCAAGCAGATGTCTATTTGCAAATAGAGAATAGAAACCAAAATTCTAAGCCTAGTGATTTGCCTCTAAATGTTTACCTTTCTTAAGTACAGTAATTGAGAGGAATCTTTATCATTTTTCAAAGCAGTTTACGAACAAACCAAGGAATACACCCCAGTGAGACAGTGAGGTAGTATCACCACAGTTCAAGGAGGGTAAACTAGCAAGCAAATTAAGACATCAATTCTGCAGGCTCCATGCAGACCTCTGAATTTACATGGAGTTAAATGACTTCACTAAGAAAGCCAAAGTCCCGGAGTTAAGATTGTATCAAATTCGAGCTACAAGGTATCATCCTGAAAAGCCCTCAAGTATATTTAGAAGCTAACACCTGTCCTCAAAAACATTTTGGATCCTTTGGAACTTAAAGGGATAAATCACTTTGGGAAGCCAGGCATAGATGCTTTGGACAATTTTTCTGTTCAAAATCTCAAATTTTACTTTACCCAAAGGCAAGAGATGGAAGAGAAGGCCATCCAGGCAGACTACAGAAATTCTGAATTTTAATTACATTCTTGGACAAACAATGATATGAATAGACACATACACTGGTGATTCCTTATTGCCGAGTTGTTTGCTGATAAGAGTTGCAGGTATTTAGTGGCATGTTCTGGATTCTTTGTGCGCTTTTCTGATTAATTTAAATCCTTTAGGGGCTAACAAGACATTTCCAAACCATGGAACTACAGCATTTTTTCCCTATTGTTTAATCAGCAATACAGCTCACCTCATGTCGATGTTTAAATAACTTTCTTAATGTAATAAATACTTTTCTTTGGCAATCACAATGTACTGGGCCTGGCTGAGATGGAGTTAATTTTCCCCACAGCAGCCCTCACAGTGCTGTGCTTTGTATTGGTAGCTAGGAAGATGTTGATAACACACCCCTGTTTTGGCTACTGCTGAGCAGTGCTCCCACAGCACCATGACTGGCTCTCCAACATTCCCCCTCACCAGTGGGCTGGGGGTGGGCAACATCTTGGGAGGTGACAGAGCCAGGAGAGCTGACCCAAACTGACCAACGGGATATTCCATACCATATGAGGTCCGCTCAGCAATAAAAGCTGAAAGAAAGGAGGTGTGTGGGGAGGTATTCATTATTTATGGCATTTGTCTTCCAGAGCAACTGCTACGCGTACTGAAGCCCTACTTCCTGGGAAGTGGCTGGACATCGTCTGTTGATGAGAAGTAGAGTATAAATCTTTTGTTTTCCTTTGCTTCTGCATGTGGCCTTTGCATTTGTCTTATTAAACTGCCTTTATCTTGACCCATGAGGTTTTTTCCTATCTTATTTTCTTCCCGCTACCTGCTGCCCTGTTGAGGAGTGGAGTGACAGAGCAGCTTGGTGGCATGTGGCATCTAGCAGTGTCAACCCGCTATACACACACATTAGTAAAGCAAAGATTTTGACCTTTTTGTGAATAAGGAAAGAAAAATACCTGTGAGAAGTAGCATAAAGCAAATGGGAAACTAAGATTTTCACACAAGGTCAAGCTATAGAAAGAACAAAGCCAGCCAAATCTCTGTTTAGCATTCAAATGTCTGAGAGATTTCTTACTTCTGTGTAGTTTCAGAATTGTGTAAGACATAGCAGTGAGAATCCGCTCTCCTTCAAGTATGTAGATATCCCATATCCTGAGGCTTAATGTAAAGGGAGTCTGCAATGACAGAACCAGGCAACACTGTGAGAACAGTCTGTCCCCAGTCACATCTGAAAACAGACACAGAAAATGAAAAACATACTCACACGATCAAGGAAACACTGGAAAAACCACTTTGTTGTGTAAAAGCTAGTGGATATATCCTGGGAGTCCTGTAAAAAATGCAGAAATTTAAAAATACTCACAAAAATCAAGTAATGTCTCGCACTGTCTATGGAAAAACATTTTCACCTTGAGGCCAATGTACCCAATATTCATCATAAAGAATTAATTTAACTACATGAGACGCTGTTACTTCAGTCCAATAAATACTATTTCTGTCTTTTATAGTTTTCCTTCATCAATTTCACCACCTGAAGAAACATGCATTTGGAGATGCTGAGGTATTAACACATCTCAGACCACGATCTTACTCTTGGGAGATAGGTAGCAGAGGATTAAATCCTTTCTCAAGAAAATAAATCAATATTCTGGAGTAACCAAAGTTCAGCCACTGGGTCCATTTAGTCTATCATTTCTCTATAGCAAGGCTGCCAATTCATGCCAAAGGTTGAAAAGATTTTGTGACAAGAATACCTATCTACCAGATAGAAGCCTAAAACAATCAAACTCTTCAAACACAGGACCTCAAAACACCACTCAGACTGTTAAGGAACTAAATTCCTTAATTAAGAGGCCTAATTTCCCATAGAGCATAGAGGGTCCATCTGGCATACCACCCCATTCAAAGATGGCTAAGGTAGTTTCACAGAGATCTTCAAAGTTCTCTGTACAATTAGAGGAAAAGCCAAAATAAAAGCTGAAAAGCTAAGAAATTCTGAATTTTAACTTTGGGGTAACATCATATTCTATGCTTGCCACATTCAGCTTTTGCAAAAATTTCAAATATACAAACAGTGAATAAGCAATGGACCAAATCCCAAAATTTCAATTATACTAACACTGAATAAGCAGTGGACCAAATCCCTCTGGTTTATCTGCAGGCTTTACCTTCATCTTTCAGCAAGTTAAAATGAGCTCATTTTAGTGATATATTCACAGTAAGAAATTAAAAAAAAAAAAAATTCTTAGTATAATTTAAATAATCTTCATGAGATTTTCATTTTGAGAGTCTTTAAAAAAAAGTAGGCAGAACAAAAAACACCTTATTTGGAGATTTTTCTAACCTGCAAGAATGGTCGTCAGCCTCCTGAAAGATAGATATAGTGGACCATGCCTTTCCTTGGTGAAAATACTGATTGCTATTACATTTAATGCCACTAAAGTAATTCAGACAAAAACAGAACTAAGTTTTTATTTAAAACTAAAAAAGAAAAATATATAATAAATAGAGTGAATGTTTTCTGGATCCCTCTGAACAGGTAGACAAGAACTAGCTCAGAAGGGAACTATCAGAGCATTATATTTAAATAAGATTTTTCAGTTACTAAAGCAACTTTCTGAACTTTTCTGAAACTTTCTTTTTCAAGTGATGCAAGAGGAAGGGGGAAATTTGAAGGATGGAGTGATGGAAAAAAAAGGTTTTGATTATTAAATGCAGTAGTAAGACATATATAAGCAATACAAAAAATTTAATAAAGTGCCAGCCTCAGGCTGTATCACCTCAATCATGTCCAATTATTTTTGAATTTTTAGAAAGTATAAGGGTCTTTTACCATTTACTGTTAAAACTACCCAATTTTCTTGGGATTATTCTATATTTTGTTCTTGAAACATGACAACCCCAAAAATGTGAACAACACTATATTTCTAAACAAGAATCATCATCTTGCATGTATTGTAAAAACTAAATCCACAACTTTCATTTCAGAGTCAGGTTAGTTACAGAATTGGTCTTGATTTTTTTTTTTAATATGAGAATATCATCCTGCACAACTAATTTTGACTTGACCTTTTAACAGAAGAGTGTTTTTTTCCTAACCAGATCTGCCTAATTCCACGTTATGAGCAGGTCTAATACCATGTTGTAAAAAAAAGACATTAAATTCTATTTTTACAACAGGCACACATTAGATGCAATTCATCACTGCTAAGGTGCTAGTCTGCTTTCAAATTGTCTTTTTTTTTATTTTTTCCAAGGTGATAAACATCCTGAACAGAAAATACTATAATCCTGGGAAGGTAATGCTTGTAAGCAGCTACCTTCTTAGAAGATGTTGCTGCAACTGAGAAGCTCTTACACTACCTTTTAAGACTTGTGAGATGGATTCTGACAGAACCAGTGTGATTGTAAAAGAAAATTCTTGATGACTATTGGAAGGGCATTTTTCTCTCATTAGAAAAATAATTTGTTCCTTAGAATAAATACATCTAGAGTATATTATTTCGTACTTAAGAGCATTAGAAAGGATAACACTCAACATTTAGCTTTGTGAAAATACTACTGAGTATGTATCAAATTTAAATGGATCATTGACTCCTCTTATACAGGTTAGTTTTTAAACATAAATAAACATAAATAGATTAAAACTGGTTGGTTGCAAAGTCACCTCTGTCCAGAGATGAGCCACAAAGCTCTACATACAATGAGCTCTTGATAAAATGTTATAACATCAGCTTGCTATACAGCAGTTTGCATAAGGTCAGGTAGAACGACCACATATATTCCTTAACTCAGAGGTCAAAAGTGAGACAGATACCCAATTTAATTACTCTTAGAATCCAATTTTATCATAACTGTCAAAGTGCACCATAAATTTGTCTGTAATGAAAACAACAGCACTTCTGCCTCTTAGAGCTTTGCTTTTTTTTTCTGAGGTTTGAGGTATTCTTAACCAAGTGAGTTAACCTGAGCCAAAACAAGGTAGCAAGCTGTAAATTAGTGCTTTTATTGTGATGTAAATACTTACCAAATGCTGCTTAAGTTTGGACAAAAATTTTTTCAGTATTTTCTCATGATGTTCTTGAAACCTCAACAGTTTTGGAAAACCAGGAATAAAAAAACCTGAGAAAAGAAGTTGACCGTGTAACAGGTGTATGTACTATAAAAATGACATAAAAAATATTACATTCATAGCTCTGAAAACATTATTATTCTATAAGACCACTGGATCTGAACAGATATTCATAGCAATATTATGATGTCCACACACAGATATGCACATACTCCTGCCTAAATGACTACAGCAAAACATCAATATATTCCCTCAGTGACTACTGTTAAGATTACTAATGGTAGATGACAGCAGATCCATCAGTCTTACATTATTCTGCCCACTATAACATCATGGGGAAACTAAACTTATAATTATTCTTGAAAAACAAAACAAAAAAACACAACTCACACCAACTAACACTTTTAAAAGCAAGAAGACAGAAAACGGGATTATGCCGAGCAAATTCACAGTAGAAGGGCAAACAGCATAGGCAGCTACTAGGAATGTCTGATTTGAAGACCGTAAAAAAGGACAAGAGGGATATTCTACCAAGACAATTATGAATACATAGTATAAAGTGAATATTGTGAGCTCACACAACTGAAACTAAGGGCACATTAAAAATCTTGAAGAGTTTTAGTGATCACACACTGGAAAAGGAAAGGACTAAGATCCCCTTCCAATTAAGTTATCAGCAGAGTTAAAAAAAGGCTCAGAGCAAACACGTAATACTAGCCAAAAAATCTGAAATGCAAAGGAAAGTTAGTACAGCTACACAGCAGGAAAAGAATCCATTCAAAGAAGATCCTTCAAAAAGCTGAAGCTGTGTTCAGATCAGAAAAACAGATATGATCAAACACTGGCAGTATAAAAATGTGAAAAACAAGCCTCTCCCAAAAAAACAACTCACAGAAGACATTAAAAAAATACTAATAGACCTATTTTCAAACACCTTGGAAGCAGAAAGCCTGACAGAGAATTTGTAGGTTCAACAGTCTGTGAAGATTTTTAGAAGTGCTCAGAGAAGATAAAGTCAAGACTAAAACCAAGTTAAATTTTTGCGTGGAAGACATTAGGGACGTTCCCAAGTCAGAACCCTGAACAGCTCTAAAAAAAACTCGAAGATCACCTAGCTGAAATACTGATTCTATGAAACCTCTTGCTGAAAATACCCGGAGTCCCGAAAGTGGCTGACATGATGTCATCTTTTCTTGTACTGGTTTTTAGTACAATATCTATCCAATATTCAGGCCAATATTCCGAGAAGAAACCAGCAGAAACCATAATAAAGCAAGGTGGGGTAAGTGGACATCCAGATGGATGCGATGCTGAGAAGAATCAACATGGTTTTTACAGAGACATCATGTCTCTTAAATCTACTGGGCTTCCATGAAGAAATCAGTGAGTACACAGGCACAGAGAGCAGTAGATATTGCCTATTTGACTTTCTAAAGGTACTTAATACGTTCTATCGCCAAAATAGCCTCAACTTTTCAGTCCATCTCCTAAGGCAGCTAATCCAATGAGTTAAAAGATAGCAAAAAAAAAAAAAAAAAAAAAAAGGTTGCACTTATGAAGTTGCATAGGAGTTTGTGCTGGGATCTAAGCTATTTGACATGTGCCATGTGTCCACACTGTGAACAATCAGTCAAGTTCTAGCCATCCTGGAAGAGTATTGGAAAATCTGGAAAACACCAGAAGTCACAGAAATTATCAAAGTATACAACAACTTCTGTGCCAAGAACAGATAAAAATGCTGTGTCTGATCAGCCTGCAGTAAAGAAACAGCTGAGGTGAAATATCGCCAAGTGCCAGCAGCGAACATGTTATGATCATTCACTCTCTTCTCTAAAGCAAAATCTACAGGGGATCACCGAGAAACCATCACGTGCAGAGCCAAAACAAAAATGGAAGAACACAGTCCACAGTTAAATGCAATGAATTATTTAAGGAAAAAAGTCTACTGTAGACTATTAAAGGCAAAACAAATTTCCATCTCAAGAAGTTCCTCCAGAAATTCTTTCAGCCTCTAATACATTTTACAGGAGGTGTTGATCTTTGGTTTCCTCATTATCAGACACCTCACTGAGCATCTGTTGCTGGTCACTATCAGAGACAGGACACTGGACTAAATAGGTCTAGCACAGAAATTCCATATTCTTAGGATTAAAAAAGGCTACAAAAAAACCCAAGAGTTTTTACTTGTAAGTGATAGGCAGCATGGAAAGTGGAAGAACAAGTATGGACCCAAAGAATATATGTCGATTAAAAATAAAAATATCACTAAAGAAGGTCCCAAACCAAAAAGAAAACTCTTTCTAGTTACCAATTATGTAATTCAGTGCACAATCACTAAGCTGCAAGATTTACTATCGCAGATTCACACAGGTTTAATATTTCATAGATACAAATGCACTTCTATTAAATGTCAGGTTGCATATTAGGAAATTTTGCTAATATAAGTGAGGTGTTTGGGATTTTTTTCTTAATGTAAACAGTAAATGATCACATCAAAGCTAATTAGCCATCATTGACAACACTCAAAGCTGCTTTTTCCATGGAAAGTTTCTCTTTTAATTTATATATACCAACTCATTATCTTGAATTTCTAAGACTATAAAAACACCAACAGAAAGACCTAACTCATTTTCAGGGTCAGATACCCATATTTTACTGTTGAGAGACTTCATATTATCTGTACAGTATGAAACATCAGAGAGGCCAAAATCATCCCTTGATTTCAAGTGGTGTTATACCAGAAATTAGTCTGGCTATGTATCTGAGACACAGGGGTTGAACCCAAAAAACATTCCAGGTTTCCAGATCACAGGTAGAAGAGAAAAACTGATGAAAAACCTTGTCTATGGGGAGGAATTTTTAACCATCCTACTCTCATCAATTATGATTCTAATTGAATTACTCAGTCCACCCCTATAATCTCCATAGAGAGATGTTCATTTCAGAGAACTGCCGGAAGGTCAGTAGCATCAAGTGTAATTATAAAAGTTTTCCTTCATGAGTATCTGCAATTTAGTAATAAAATTATTTAGGCTTTAAAGAGTTGGCAAACTGTGCTTGAAACTACTTTCCCCAAAGAAGAACACAGAAAAAGTGCAGTTACATGACATTGGTTGAGTCTTTCCCTTACAGAATCTACAGTTATATATTACAGTAATGCTGCACCGTGGCATAAACCCACTTAAAAAAAACATTTAAATAATCACAGGAAATCTAGGTTAGAAGGGACTTCTGGAGATTATCTGGTCCAACCTGCTGAAAGCAGGACCTTAGATTAGGTTGGTAACATTTAATAAATGATAAATTGGGAACATTTGAGTTATACTTAAGGTTTTGTTATACTTAAAATGCTGGAATTCCTGGAGTTGTTCCATACCAATAGCTATGAAATATGCATAGATCATACTAAATTTGGAAAGAGAGAACTACCAATAACACGTAAGTAGAAAGACCACGAGAGCAGGAAATGCTGTGTGAGGCAGAGATGAAAGAAGAAGAAACCCAAAGTTAATGCCTAGATACAAGTCCATTTTTAACTACAGATTCCTGTCCTGCCAAATGATAGCACAACCACAATATTATTTAACATATTCTTTATTAGGTTTCTGCTACTGTTTTATTGCTATATAAATATCTACATAACCAGCTTTTAATAGGCTACATTCCCTAAGAGATTAAGAGGAAAGGAAACTATTTGATTTTCATGAAAAACTATTTGAAAGATACTGCATATAAAAAAATTACTTACCATTATGTGTGAGAGCTCCAGTAACATCCAATAGACCCCCAGTATAAAGCTCCCGTTATGTCTTATTTTGACTATACAGACAGAACAGCATAGTTCCATTTTCAAGTAATTTACAGCTTAAATAGGGCAGGCTGAAACCTAATATATACTAAGTGACATGAAACTCCATACCATGCATAGCATGCTTTGGACCAGAGAGAAGTTTCACCAGGGCCCAGAAGGCATCTTCTTCATTCATGTACATGAGGAGTAGAGCCGTGATCTGGCTCATTCCCTGACAGTATCCAACTTCCTGAAAATCAGAGAGTGAAAACATTAAAAGCTGAAAACAAAAGCCTCATAACCATGAGCTCTTAGTTTTTCCTTGAGCTAGTAGAAGAAAGAGGATGCTTGTCCTGAGGGCATAAGTTCCCTAATTATGACACCACCAAACTATATTTAAACATCTAAAATACTGATAGATAGAAGGGATGATGCACAACCCTCCAACTGAAAAGTAAACTGGAAGTCTTGATTGTTCATTAGAACTCTCTACACAGTCCTGCACAAAATCCTTGTCAGCACTAATAATTTCAAGTAACTGTATCATCTTATTTGCCAAATGGATGTGTTTTCCATTTAGTTGTAATTTGGGTTTTTTTGGGAGGAGGGATCTTGATTTGTTTTACTTTACAGTCAGGGCACCTTCTGATAAACATAGGACTTTTCAAGAGTGACCTATACCTATAACCTGCTCAAGTTTAGCAGCCCATAGCAATCATATGTAATAACTCCCCCCCTAAAAATGTAATTGTTCCAAAACCGAACTTGAGTATTTCCTCTGCTATTAAGTTTGATTTTTGTGGTAGGAACCACCTGTCGCTATCATTTAGCTGCTCAGATAACCCCACTGATAAAGTATTTGTAAGAACAATGACTTAATTGTTGAGTAAGTTTCTTCAGGTTTACAAGTTCTTAGCAGAACTTTCCCCTAGAGATAAAACCAAAGCATCAGATCTGCTACACATTAAGAAAAATGCAACAACATAAAAACTTCACTGCAGTATTCCCATCATCACACTTTAACAGTTGATTTTAAACATATTTTTCATAAAATTTGAAAGTACTAGTCCAATGCTCTACAGAAGATATATAAAGGTCCTTCCAGAGTTTTATTTCTCAGTGTGTCAAGGCTGCTTACAAATAAAAGCTTAAGACAACATAACAAGTGAAAGACAACAAATTCCTGCAATGTAAGTTCTTTTAGGGGACAACAATTGTGAGGAGACAGAAACTGAAAGAGGACAGAAAGGTTATATTTCTTAGATCTTTGAAAAATGAAACAAAGTGGTACTTAATTTGAGTAACTGCTTAATTTCACTTTCATATTCTTAACTTTACATACTTTTACATTGAATTCTAGGGAGCTGCTGGTGGATATAAAATGAAAGATGTACAAAAATGATCAAAATGGGCACAAGGAATAAGGGGATAGTCCATTGAAGCCACAGATAAATGTGGATATGATAGCATTTCTGTTCCTTCTATTTTTAGCATGCAGCCAAAAGACATTACAAAATATATGAGTTTCTAACCCTTATGATATAGTCTGAAAATCCCACTCTAACAAATCCTCATCCAGGACTGCAGCCAAAACCGAGGGATTAAGTAAAGATGATGCAACATTCAAGACCATTTTCCATTTGTTAGAACCATCCAGGTTATGAAATATGCTTGTTTACTGCAACGTGGATCTTTCTGCAGTGTGTTTTCCTTCTCATCATTCAGACGAATGGGAGGCATATAATATAATGGGGGGAAAATATCAGTAGTATAAAAATGCAGCAGAGTACAAATCCATTATTCTTATTAGACAAAATACTTAGTTTCAGCCGAACTGTATATGCACAGTTCAGTCTGTCCAATAAGATACTCATAATCAAGATGCTTTATTTTAACTTCAGCTCAAAACATGTCAACAAACAAATAATTTATTTCTATATACTTCCAAAGGTCTCTGAAATGTTTGTTGCTTTTTTGTTTTTATGGAGAAAGAAGATACAGAATGGCAAGTTACCATCTGATGCACGTTCCAAGAAACCATATTTAAATGTGACGGTACGCAACTTACCGTATTATATATGGAATATGCAGCTAAAACATGGAATAAAGATTGTTGCCTGGAGAAATAAGAATAGAAAAGAAAAACACTATAATATGGTCTCTGGTAAAAACAGAAAAGCATGACATTAGCGAACTATGTTTTGTAAACCTGTTTCCCCTATTTTAACTTGTCTAGCTCTAAAGAACAGGACAAACCACACTTCACAATGATACGCACTTCTGATTTCAAACCAACATTATATTTAGCACTTTTCTGATGTTTTACATGTTGAAAGGTTTCAGAAAATACCTATAATACTTTTAGAAGGCAATGGTGTCAGATCATTGTTTTTACAGACAGGTAAAATGAAACATAGGATGGGCTACATTTCAAACACCAATTTATTCTGCATGCCAAACTTTAAACACCTCAGACCTGATTTCTGTGCTTGCAGAACACCAACAGCTGTTACTAATTTCAGAGATGTAGAAGAGTTGAAATACACAAAGCAGACACTAAGGTGTCTTAATCTTGGCACCCGAATTAAAGGCTGCTTTAGTGACTGCTACTGTCAAACTGGGGAAAAACAATACCAACTGTGATTCGGCATCCTGTGCTCAGTCCTCCAGGGTGTACTGATGTCCTTGTAGTTCAGAGTTAGAATTACAACAAAGAAATTTGTGTAGGTCCTTTGCTTTCTGTAAAAACAGACTAACTTGTGAAGGTAGTAAGACCATAATTAAAACCCAACCAAATTCTTCTCTTCTCAAATTGGGATATCAAAATAATGGTGGAGAGCTTTCATAATGAATTTTTAAACTCACACCTAAATTTTGGGATTTATTGAGAATTCGGAAACCTGAATTCCTACTTTCATCTACAACTAAAACTGTTAAAATTTAACTATTGAGTTTTGCATACTGTACTTTTTCTGTCCAGTGAAATTCCCTCTGACTGTCACAAATCAAATGTATAGAAATAGATACTAACAGGTTGAAAAAAGAAAGCATAAGCAAAAAGCTGTGTATCTTCTATTGGGAAGAGGATGCATACTTGGAGAATTTTACCCAAACACCTAGATTATGGCAGTTTTGTTTGCCCTTTTGCAGAACTGAAGTTTAGCCATTCTTCAGTAACCACAGTAAAGTGTACCCTAAAGTACTAGATATTAAGCTGGAGTCATATTTTACAAGGACAAACTAAAAGGTCCCAAAGGTACACAGGAACCTTCTATATCTTCAGTTGACCATATGAAACTGAACATAAGAGCTCAATCTCATTCACAGTAAGATACATAAAATAATGGTAATTTTAGTACTATTTACACTAGATGATATAACCGAAGACCTGTAAAAGAATGAACCTTCAAACACATACAGTCTACTCAAAAGTCAAACAAGCTATTGATTTACCCAGCAGACTTTATTTCATTGCTATGTGAAATGATTTCTGAATTTTTCATCAAGGCATCACTGGAAATGCATAATACATGTACAGTAATTCCAAGGTCTATTCCAAGTGTGAAATTGCTTTATGCAGCCAAAGGCTTTCCTGTGGACTCTGAGGGCACGCTTACAACATAGCTACAGGGACCGGAGCTGGCTCTGCCTGTCTTAACCCCAAACTGATGAGGTAGCAAGCTTCTGCTAACATCTAAAATGTGTGCATAAAAACTAACTGAGGCCCAGAAGCACCACAGTCATTTTTGCATGGCACTGTGTCAGTACTACTGAGAGGCAAGGCACATCAGCTCAAGTACAGGTAGCACTGCACAAATAGATCTAAGCTACAGTGACTGCACAGAATAGCTCTCAGCTTGGGAATTTCCACTTGGTACTCCATCCTGTGTTGCTGTAATCAGAGAAATTCCCCATATTTAGAATTTGTCCACAAAATAGCTAGAATAATAACATAAGAAAATGTTTGTTTTATTATCACATTAAATTCCACAGTGCTTTGAGTACTGCTTTTTGAAAATAGACTACCATAGAATCTGTCTTGGAAAGAAAAGGAGATTAAAAACTGAACTAATATGGTCACAGAAGGGAAAAAATACCCTTTTCATCTCAGCAGGGTGCTGATGCTGCAATACTGATATTTGTATTGCCACTTATTTCACTATTAAGCATTTTTAAAGATGACAGCTGCCTAATATTCCTCATCCAATAACAGTAAAAACACCCCAATATTTTGAAGAAATCCAAAAGCTTTAAGGCCTACATTTGCAAAAAATTAAATGCTCACATATACAATACTGCTTTATTTGGTTCTGAATTACGTACTAGAAGAAGAGGAATATAAAATCCAAAGGAGGGCTAAGATCTCTGGGAAGCAAAAAGTTATTAGAGATGCAAAAAGTTATTTTGCTTTTGAAAATACACCGTTAAATAAAATGATTGCATAATCAATCTGCATTTGTATTTACAGTAACTGAGACTCTTTATTAAACATGAAACAAGATGAGAACAGTTTAGAAATGGTTTTCTTTGAATGCTACTGACCACCTCATAGTGAGGGAAAACCAGTTGGCTGGAAGCAACCGCCTGGTTTTGCGGTAGTAACAGTAATTACATTATCGCACACAGACAATCCTGATTGAAAGTCTAGAACTTAAATTCAATATGCTCGTATAGGTCAAAGAGGCTTGAGACAACTCAGAAGACAGTTTTAAGACAAGCAAAAAAACCCCTCTTTATTTACTTACTTAACACCGTATCTGTCTCGGAACATGATATGATCTCTATATGTTCGATTTACATCAAGATCAATTTGCCTAATATCTGGCGAAGACCCTCGTGCTTGACACTTCAATTTCTGGGAAAACAGTAAAGGACAGAAATTAAGTTCAAAATTGTGAACTCCAAAATAGCAGAAACCTGCCCGACTGTACACCTATATTGAAGTACTTGACATCTCATGATTTGAAACACTTAATATAGAATAACCACTCACAAGACAACAATTTTAACTTCCAAAATATGCAGATATGTATATAAATTCTATAGAGTCAGACACATTCACACAGTATAGATGTAAAAAGACCAATCCCATAAATACACATTTTTGTGACACACCATTCACTGTCCATATTCAAGGTTATGTTTCAGCATTTCAAATTTCTAATTGTCATTTCTTAGGTAGACACATCACTGGAGAAAGGCAGAAAGTGAATTTTACTACTCAGGAACAAGAACCTAAGATGTAAGTGTTCCAGACTGGACTTTCAGCAAATGATTTACTGTGGGTTTCATACTTTTCCTGCCTTCTTCTCTACACAGAAGTAATAGCACATAGCTGCCAGTTATTATCTATGTATAAATAATGGACATTTCTCTAGTCATTTCCTCTGTCTCTCTGTTCTGATCGAATTTAGTTGCAGAATACCTCTACTTTAGCACTTGCTTTAATGTTTTATAATTAAACCCAATTTTGCAATTGAATACTTAAGAAGCCTGCACAGGTTAGATTGCCACCTTATTTTCTGAACTTACAATAATTTTCTTTCACCATTCATTCATTCATTCTCATTTCTGTCGCTAAAAGTTGAGTTTGCAAGACATTTCCAACTGGATTCAACATTCTATTTTCAAAACATCACATCTAAGCAGCCATTATTAAAGAACACCACCACAGACAATCAAAAGGCAAAACTCTACAGATTCTGATTGCAAGAAAACAAAAAGATTTAAAGACAAAAATAATAAGAAAAAAACCCCAAAGGGATCAAACAGGGAACAATAACATCCATTCAGTCTGTTGAATACAACCAGAAACGTCAGGCACATTGGGAATTACCTGTACCTGTCACTGAACCACCTGGTAGCAGCCATAAACCACATTAACACTGACCACAACCCCAGCTTCATGCACCGTTCGATATAATCTAAAGTACTAACATCCAGAATGATTTGTCCCCCGGACAGAAAAGAGGTGAAGAGAAATTTTACAGTTTTAAGGTGGCACAAGGACCCAGAAACTATGATTTATCTGAGACCTTGCTATCATGAGAGACTCTAGCATGAGTAAAAAGAAAAGGTACCTAGAGTTTGAGATACAGACAGAAGATTAAGAGCTGGTAATTTCCCTGAACAGAGAAATGAAAAAAGCTGTTTGACCTACAGCAAATGTGTCTATTTTCCTTCTAATTTTAAGGTGTGAGATTTGTAAGTGATACTTGTAATGAGAAGTGTTAATATCACTTCAGGAAATGGGAAAAATGGACAGCAGTAAAATGAGCTTATCGCAAATAAACAAGCTAGGATAATGATGGAAGAAACTCCTTCTACTTCTATATCTTAACTACAAACACTTTTTTGTTTTGCATTGAGCACTAGATGGCATTAATAATTTCTGAAATGAATTCTCCTATTTTTAAATGCTTCTAATTTTACTCAGTATACTTTCCCACAACTACATTATTCAGCATGAACTTTGTTTTATCCCTTTTGGATCTGCCACTAGTCTTACTTAGGAAGTTAAACAAAACATAATAGTCAGAAAGAGCAGCCTGTCAACTAGAGAGTGGTAAAAAATTTAAGACGAAGATCACAGACACCGAAATTTAGATAACATCAATGCCAACATCTTTCATGATCTTACATGATGCCTTGTCTACGCAGTCCCAAAATCTCAGCTCCAAAAAAGTGCTAATAGAAAATGCCAAAATCAAACAAGCAATGCATCTCCTTGAAACTCTGGACATTATTTCTTTAAAAGGCAGTGAACATTTAAATGCCTGTGAGGAAAAATTCAAAAACTCTGTAATACTAAATTGCATTTCTGTAAGCTAAACTTTCCCTATAATCCTTTAGCAGAAAGAGAGACAGAGAGAAGACAGAATTTTAAAGGATTTGATTCTCTTTCTGCCTAATTTACTACCCTTCACATGAGCCTTACTGTCTACTCTTAGGTCTGAAGTTTAGCTCTGATGGCCATCAGCTGTATTCACATCCACAGGAAAAAGTAGATTTAGGAGGGGAAAAATTTAGAGGAACATAACCATAATAATTCAGAGGTTGCTTTAACTGCTACCCAGGGTGTGGATGGGGGCTGGGGGGTTAACACACAGCTATTTTCTTTACATTCAAAGTAGGAGATATATGCTTAAGTGGTCAATTTATGACTGTAAAATTTTCTGGGGTTAACATCCTGTCATCAGTTGCACCTCTGAAAATAAAATCAAGTAACCAGACAGTGCTTTGTAGGGGAACTCTAAGCTTCACTTGGAGGTGAGATGGCAGAAGTATTGCCACCTTGTTCTGGCTTGTGCAAGATTAAGGCACCAACCTCCATCTCCTCCAGAATTCTGGAACTCCTCTTACTGATATTCAACTAACAAGGTCCTTCGTTAGTAGACACTTCTCAAAGAGCTGTAGTTTCAGAGGTTTCTGTCTTCTTAATGGGACAAGGTTTTTTTTTCTTATTTTGTTTTGCTTTGCTTTTAGAAGGGCTTTTGCAAGTATTTGAGGATGGGGAAAGAAATTAAAATAGTATCAAATTAGTTACATGAATTACAGAATCAAACAATAAACTGAGAAAGTGGTTTTCAATAAATATCCTTTTTCCTAGCTAAAACAAGCAGTAGAGTTTAATGCAATTTTTAATCTATTTTTTTAAACACTGCATAATAAAAATAGCTTAATAAAGCCTGTAGTCTTAGTGTCCAAAATGTTTTAATTAAGTAGAAATTCTACAAACTCACATTATAAAAGTCTTTCATTTCTTCTTTCATTTTAGGGACATCAAGTAGTAAAGACCAGACCTGCCCTCTGAACTGCAGTGGAATTCCTTTATAAATTCTCCTGTGAAACTGTAAAAAGAGAAGAAAATACAAATGCAGTACAATCTACAGCATTCAGAACAAAAGGAACAGTGACATACAACATGCTAAAGAGAAAAATACAATTGTATCGCTTGTTCTAGCAAAGGGATGACCTGCTGGGGACAAAGTATTCCAGTGTCTTCTGAGGGACTGAAAGTGTCCAGTGACATCATCTGGGACATCTGTTGACAGAATCAGCAGAGGCCCAGGGAACAAAATAGACACACAGGCCAAAACATCACTCCATGCAGGTGATGCTTACAAGCCAGGTCTTTAGCATGCAGAAGGCCTATCAAAATTGTATGACCTCTGCTGAGCAGCACTTAGTGTGCAAATATTGCAAAGACTACTCCAAATTTTGTAATTTAGACCCAAAAAAATCAGATCCTTAGTAACACAATATTTCAGGACAAGCCACAAATAACTCACTATAATTACAAACTATAAATGGGAATGTTGAAAGGCAATCAGCAATATCACAAAGCCTTAAAGATTACCAGGGTTTTTTTTTAAAAAAAAAAAAGGATAATTGATTTTTGAATTCTTGTAAAACTGCAACAGTGTGCTGAGAGGTATATATGCATACCAAACAAACATGTGAGATCACCAAGAAAACCAGAATGTGCCATTTCTAAAACTAACAGACTTCAAATCGTATTTCTAAACTAATAAACAGTTTTCTACATGCATATTAAAACATTCACACTAAAACAACATATAAAAGATATTCTAGCTACAGTTTCTAAGAATACAGAACAATCTGCCAAAACCACATACAATTCTTAGCTGTGAAATCGAAAATTAAATTCCCCATGCCTGGCACATTCTGTTCTGACATGTAAAGGTTATATTAGAAACAGGTCAGAAGGGGATAACTCAGTACCTGTGCGTAACTAGAGTCATTATATAAACTATTTGTGAGTCTTGCCTCTGACATGTCACTGCTCTTGCACTCTCATTCAGTGGTTTGGTTCTTACTGGGCTTATTTGAAAAAATCAGGAGCACTGACAACTGGCTTCCTCAGTTCTCTTCTGATTTGTGTCTCTTTATGCTGCAGCATTTAAGAGCATGAAGGGCCTCTAAACAGAGACAGATGGACTAGCTGTCTAAAGTCTTGGCTTTACGCAGCCAGGAGAGACTCAAGATAAGCAAAGCTTCAGAGCAACTGAATCTTAGCAATTCTAAAAACACCAAAAAAATGTTATCTTTCAGAAGGCATGTCTAGGAAAAGGAAAAACAGAGAACTTTAACAAAGAAAATGAACCTTTGTGAACTTCTGGTTTTACCATTTTTTTAAAGATGGCACAGAGAGACAATTAGATTTAAAAGAGAACAAAGCACACACACACACACACAAAAATCTATTCTTTGCATTTAACCTACAACGACAGTTAGACCTTAAAATTTTCAATTGACAAAGTTACCACTTCCTTGAAACATTTATAAAGGTAATGTTTGTAACGAGAAGCGTTTTAAAAGAAATGTCCTCACCAAAGACAGAATCCTTTTTTCTTTTTCACGTATTTAACATTTTCAGTTTTGGAAGATTGATGAACCCCTCATTGCAGTACATTTGCAAACCTCCTGCTGTTTGGGATATATCAGATCTTTGAAGGTGTCTTTAATGCTAGTAAGGATTCATGTCTGGATTTTAGAATGTGTAACTCTTACACAAGTAAGGTTATGACTTTTTGTCTTGTCCCCTTATCAAACAGAAATTTTAAACTTGTATAAAATGCAACAGCAATGCTGAAGGCTGTCCACAAAGAAAATGTGCTTTTTAAAAAAAACTTTGCTGCTTTAATATTATTAAGAATTCTAAAGCAGCAACACTTCTAGTGTGAGCACAGTTATGACAGTACAGTTTCTTCTGTAAGGATAAAGAACCACATATCCAGTGTTATAAGGCTGTTCTGTATAGACATATATCCAGACTTCAGCTCACACAGAGAATCAGTATGTGTCAATGCAGACACAAGGATAACTGCTTCTCAGAGAGAGGATAATTCAATCTTTTGAAAACCAAACAAAACCAATTGCAGTGGTCATCCTGAGAAGAAATTAGCCTGTCTGCTGGAAAACAGGCTGAGCCAAATTTGACAAATCTTTTCTAGGAACATGAAAGAAAAAAAGTAAAAAAAAGCAGTATTGTATGTCTCCAGTGACATGTAGCTGTATTCCTGAGACCAATGGTACAACAACAGTGTACCCTGATAACAAACACTTCTGCCAGTTAATTATAAATTTGTAACTTGTTTTCAAATGCCTCCAACAACCATAAGGTCATTAATGAAGAATGATTGTTGAAGAATAAATTCTCAAGACTACTGCTGTTCTAAATTGATATTTTGGGGGATCAAGTGGACATCAAAGACCAGAAATAAGCCTTTGTAATAGTAGTTTCTTACTGAAATAGAATTAAAACAAATTCAAACTATCCAAAGTATGGGGCTGCTCTATTTTTTTTCAGGAGATAAAACTGACGGAGAAGAACAACCAGTTTCAGAGAAATCTATGGCATATACAGTTTTCCCCCCTACTGCACCTCCCAGACTTAAAAAGTCAAACACTAGAGAAGCACTTGAAGTAGTAAGTAAAAACTGAGATAGAGAATTTTGAAAGCACTTTTAAAAGCAACGCTTGAAAAATGAGCTGGTAAATATAACTTTCAAAAGAGTGGAAAGGATGGAGAGACCAGCAGTTTCATTAGCCCACTACAGTTATGCCAAAAAAAAAAAATCAGGAAATCAAATATTTTCAGTAGCTAATACTAGAATTATTGCACTATCTGATATAATAAACACGAATAACATTCAGAGCTTCTTGCAAACCATTTTAGATCTGTATCCAGCTGACTCTGCTGTTCCAACTATTCTTTTATTTAGGCAGAGAAAAAAGCTTTCAGTCATCCCCAAGTCATTACAAGATCCTGCTGACAGAGTCAGCAGAACATGAGAATAAAGACTCTCACGGTCTGCCAGGTGAGAAAGAAATGTAACTCAAGAACAGAAGCTTTCATGGCACAGGCTCCATTACACAAACAGTAATGTGGAAACAACTGTGAATAATTTTATGTACAATGAAAAACTGAGGAGTGGCTGATATGCCAGAGGGTCACGCTGCCACCCAGAAGGACCTTTACAACCTGGAAAAATGGGATAATGGGAACTTCATGAAGTTCACTGAGGAGGAGTAAAATCCTGCACCTGAGGACGAACACCATGCCCCAGTACGTGCTGGGGGCTGCCCAGGTGGAAAGCAGCTTGGCAGAAAAGGACCCAGGGGTCCTGGCAAACACCAAGTTGAACAGGAGCCAGCGATGTACGCTTGCAGCAAAGAAGGTGAATGGTATCTTGGGCCGCATTAGATAAAGTATTGGCAGCAGATTGAGGGAGCTGATCCTTCCCCTCTGCTCATCAGTGGTGAGGCCACACCTGGAGTAGTGTGTCCCGTTCTGAGCTCCTCGGTACAAGACAGACATGGACATACTGGAGAGAGTCCAAAGGCCTAAAAAGATAGAGACTTGACCATCTATGCTGTGAGGAAAGGCTGAGAGAACTGGGACTGTTCAGCATGGAGAAAAGCAGGCTCAGGGGGATCTTATCAACGTATATCAACACCTGGAGGGAGGGTACAAAGAGGAGAACAGAGCCAGGCTCTTTTTGGTGGTGCCCAGTGACAGGACCAGAGGCAATGGGCACAAACGGAAACACAGGAGGTTCCCTCTGAACATCAGGAAACACTTTGTCACTGTGAGGGTGACCGAGCACTGGCACAGGTTATCCAGGGAGGTTGTGGAGGCTCCATCCTTGGAGATACTCAAAAGCTGTCCAGGGCAGCTGGCTGTAGGTGGCCCTGCTTGAGCAGGGAAGCTGGACCAGAAGAACTTCAGAGGTCCTTTCCAACCTCAACCATTCTGTGATCCTGTGTCATTCTGCGATTTCTGGGAAAATGACACAGCTGCACTGCATTTCGGGGTGGGGGGGAAGAACCCCCACATGCTTCACAGAAAAACTAATTTTCAATAATCATTCAGTCACCAAACAATTACAGAAAATATAAATGAGCAAACTGATGATTAACTAACAATGTCTTTACCATAAATACCATATTACTGCCCTCTTCCGTCTTTTATTTCCTTATGTAATATATGTTTGAAAATATGTTGAGAAACACTGGGTTGGGCCTATATCCTTGCAAAACCCTAATCTACTCTTCTGTTCTCTCTGAATTAATAATTAAAATTAAAAGTAGAAAATTGAGCAAGTTACTCTTTCTTCTACTTCTAGAGATATGAAATAATGAGTCAACCTTCAACAACTTCTTTAAAATTAATGTTTTCTAAAAATAATAGCTCAAACCAAAATGCAAGTCTATAAAGTCAAAGTTCAGATAATCATTGTATGAAAACATGCATCATTCAAAGAATACCGTTATGGAATCCAGTATATTTCCATCAGCAGAGAACACAGAAAAAAGAAAGTCATCCTCAGTAGATATAATTATATAAACACAACTGAAATAAAAATACAGGTTCAATTTCTTTATCACATCTAATATTCAGCTAATATTCAGCCAAAGCTAGCTGTCATAAACTCTTACAATTATTACTATTACTGTTGATCTTGAAGTATGTAGGACAAGTGGGACACTAGATGAGGCCCATTCCACCTGGGAATTCAAAAGGAGCTTCTCATGCAAAAGAAAATTAGACTTGTAAATTGGACCTTCCCATTTTGAAATGAGAATATATAGAATGAGTTAAAAAGCTTACAAAGCAAGAGTTTAAAAAAACCTTCCAAATTTGGAATATTCCAAATTAGCTACCATCTCAAATAATTAAGTCCATAACATCCAACATTCAGTGTGGCCTCCATGCAAAAAATACAGAAAACATACAACCTCCCGTTCCTTCCCCTGCCTCAGTCTCTCCATCTCATAAACCCAGTTAGTTCCCAGACAAGAAATGAGTCTGCTATCACACAGC